TTTTTCACCCCATCCCACACAAGTTATTGCAGGAATTATTCTGCTTCATAGCCCATATCATTTTTGCCTCCCTCCTTTTGTGGCGGTATCTTCCTCCCCTTCAAAACCCTGCTCCCTGCTACAGCAAATTGCTCTTTTTCACCACATAAGAAATGTCTCTTCCTACCCTGAGTCAAGCATAAGTCCCTCTTGTTGAATAATAATCACATATTTTACTCCTTATTTTTGAAAATACTTATGTCCCCTCACTTTTAAAAAGTAGATACCTACTTTTTTAGTTCATACTTCCAAACATTAATCTCAGAATGGTCTATATGCACAACTGGTCAGCAATTGTAACCGCACAGACATCCAAGATCTTAATGGTTATATTAGGCAAAGGAAAGTCATTGAAATGTTAACGAAATTCAGCCTTACTGGGTTAGTAGGTTTCAAAGTTATTTACTTCAAACTGTTTTATTGATGCTGTCTACAATATTAGGGTAATATTACTGACAGGTGAGATATATTCTAGACAGTAGGTTCTATTCCAGTACAATTATTTTGGTTTGTGATGTTGCAGACTTCCCGTCGAACTCCATTTCTTAAATAGAAAAAATTCAACCTCGTAGGTATCTTATACTTTTTTCTAATTTATCGTCTCAGTTTGAAGAACATCCATTGAAAATTTCAAACAATAGCATTAGTTTGTTCTCTTTCGATAAAATAATACAGGATCGGAGATTTTGAGCAACTGCAAACGAGTTATGAGTTCTTGAAATCTGACTGTCGATAAATAAATGCTTGAGTTAAAGCCTTGGAAAATTGAGTGGAAATATGCCCTTTTTAAACACATGTTAAAGCAGTGGAACCCTGGTGAAAATTGGCGATAAGAGCTGCGTTTCAAAATACCATAGGAATTCTTATAGCCGGCTAAAGAAGGCTACAGAAAATCATATAGCTGGCTGTAGAATGCGGAGAAAATCACACGGCCGGGCTATACGAAGCGATAAAAAATTATGCAGCCGGGCTATATAGTTCCTATCGCCGGGCTTTACACTTTATCCCCATCGGTTGTAATAGGCTATGAAAAATTGTGTAGAAATTCGTGTGCTTTGGAAATCATTAAGTTTGATACGGAACCACCTTAATATATACAAAACACACATTATATTTTCCTTTAATACATATTTTTTTTTCATCAATTAAAATGAGAACAATCCATACAGGATGTGCAAACATTTCAAAATCATGAGTTGAATAACGCTGACTCCATGAGATTAAATATTAGAGCCTAACACAAAGCGGAGCGGCGACGCACTGGCGCCTACAAACCTAACAGGGATACTTCACGCATTGCGCAACGCGTGAAGTATCCCTGTTAGGTTTGTAGGCGCCAAAGCGCGTCTCGCGCTAGCTGCCCACCTGCCACGGCGCTTGAAGCAACTATTTCACACCAGAGGTATTGCACAGTATCATACGAAACTGAAGGCACTCTAATTTATTAGGAATGTCAGGCATCCATCAAAAGTACGGACCTTTCCTCGCAAAATAAATCAAGATACTACGGCCCAAAAAGAGAGGAGTAGTCCAAAAACTCACTAAGTCCTAGCATCCGTAATTAGTAACGTTTAGCATACACTTTATCGCCTGGCTGTTGCCTAGTCACCATCGGCTATAAAAGGCTTTAAGAAATTGTGTAGCCGGCTGTAGAAGCTATTGGAAATCTTACAGCCGGCTGTAGGTCTATGGTATTTTGGAACACAAATTCTACTGTCAATTTTTACCAGGGAATTTGAACTAAGTATACCTGCAACGGAAGTTGAATTGATATTTTTGGCTGTTGAAATCCTTACTCAATGATACCTTTGTTAGTCCTTGCAGCTAGAGGCGAAATGTGAAATCTAAAGATTATTTAACCATTGTTACTCAGAGGGCAGTGTCTTCATTTTTGGTAAGGCTGGTTCTTTTCAATGTGCATATTTCCTGCAAGAATTTTTTCTCTAATTTTTCACTTTTGCTGATGAAAAGGTATTGCCTACTTTAATACCAATGAATTGGTAATCAGCTTGAAAGAAATTGAATCATACTTGAAACACATACCTACCTAGTAGGTAATTATTCAGGTAAATTATCATATTATAATTATGTAAAGTAATATATATAATTATTTCACATGGATGATTTCAAATGGCAAGCAATACCTCTTGGAGGGAGTGTGGAGGGCTAAGGACAGAGATATATGCTTCATTGGTTACATCCTTGCATCATGACTTCCCCTTTTTCTTCATAAATTAAGAATGGCTTTATTCAGCAATCCCTGCTTTCTTGAATAGCTGAATGTATCAGGTTCAAGTCCTTTTCATAGATTGATTTGAGAATGCTATATTACTTAGGTAACATACCAAATTGGCTTGTCTGATGACTGGGTTAAATGAGAACCTGAACTGATATTTGTTTCATTTGGAGCAGCCAATGGTACAATAACCTGTGAGTTTATCGCTTATTTGCATTTCTGTTGTTTCGGATAGTAATTAAATACACCCTGAGATAGTGCTGAAGAATGTAAAAATTTGAGCGGAGAAATTAACATCAACTAGATGAACAGGAAATAACAGAAAACATTAAATGTGCCTAGACAAACACCTAGCAATGCTGTTAAAGTTGTCGTAAAAAACATTTGAAAGTGGATCAATCGTTTCAAATGAGCAGATTTATTTACTCGAGCATTATATTATGAACGAGAACTTTTTTTCGTTCTTGACTTGATAGAAAATGAGAATCTTATCAGACTTTAAATGACCCTGGAGAAAGTATGGATGATTGATGGTCAAATATTTTATGATGTTCAATCATTTTATCTGTTGATTAAAATATAATAATATATTTTTGTGACAAGATTAACTAATTTTGCATCTTGAATACCTATCTTCACTGAAATGGGTGCCAAAATTTTGTCAATTTTTCACCAAGGTTATCAAACTTGCGTGTGTAAGTTAAAAAAATGTCGAGGAGGGGGATGCCTACAGAAAGTGTCATCCCATGAACTATTTGCCTTTTCAAAGTGAAAATTGTGACACGGAAACTTCGGCGGAAAATTCATCTGACTGTACAGAACTTTTTCAGAAACTTCCCATCATCCTCGATTTTCTCTCGTTTTATGCCACCCTGCATGCAGCGTTCTTCCTTAACACAATACTATCGAATGGACCACTATGTGAGCTCCTTGTATCCGAAAGATAGGCAATTCGCAATGCAAAGAAAAATTGCAACTCTATTCAATTTTTCACAATACATTTCAGTCAGAGAAACTCCTTCAAATAGTGAATAGGCAACTTACACGACACTCTGATGCAATAGCAATAGTTTTACCAGGTTGTATTCCGATCTGTGCTACTCGATTAGTGGTCCATTAAATCGGTTGGGATTCTGGCGACTGCGCGGTGAAAATTACGAATGACGCACAGTGGATGAAGTCGATGAGAGAGGTCGCACATGAAATTTTTGACTTTTAAACGGCAAATTTTGACGTTTATTTCGTCACATTTTAAATTTTGAGGGGTGCTCCCATCAAAAATTTTCACGAGAAAACCGCTGGAACCACTTTTAAGACCTCAAACGTTTGTATGAACGGAGTTATAGGCGTTTCAAGTTTCCAAATTTTGTCCGACCTTTCCTATTGGCTAGATCCACTGTGTGGCGGCGAAGTCGAGCGAGTGCGCAGAGATGCAACATTTTACGAAACTTAATGGAATGAAATCTCATCATGATATTCCATGATTTTTTTTTTTTTAGAATTTCTGCCATGGACTCGTAGTGTGCAATGAGACACATTGAAACGGTGAAATCTTGATTTTTGAAATTTTGAAGAAAAAAAAATATATCATAAGTCAAATACCAAAGTTATTTAACAAATCTCTCGAAATATTTGCGTGTTACAATTTCATGGAATGTGAAATTCTACTATTCAGCAAAATGAGATTTCATCTAACGAAATGCAGGGTTGCCACAGATTTGGAAAATTAAATTCCCTGAAATTTCCCTGACACACTTTGGTGAATTTCCTTGACAATTGAACAAATGCCATATTGTTGAAAAGACAGTTCGAAATAGCTTTCAGGCAAAATTTGTTGTTTGAAACGTCGAATCCACTCGAGAAAGCAAATGAAGGTGATTTGACGATTTCTCCGACATTCTCGTCATTTTTCCAGACATGAGATATGATAGACGCTCCGCAGCCCGTGACAAATATACAATAAAAAACAATTTAAAGAGCGGGTACAAGGCTAAAATTTCACGAATAAAACCAAAACGTTTCGGCTGAAAACTCAGCCTTCCCCGGTTGGATAAGTAAAAAAAAAAAAAAAAAAAAAAAAAAAAAAAAAAAAAAAAAAAAAAAAAAAAAAAAAAAAAAAAAAAAAAAAAAAAAAAAAAAATGGTAAAAATCTAAGATAGACATTCTCGCTTTGAAAGGTACAGCCGGGTACTATTTTTGATTTTTACCATTTTTTATTTTATTTATCCAACTGAGGAAGGCTGAGTTTTCGGCCGAAATTTTTTGGTTTAATTCGTGAAATTTTAGCCTTGCTACCCGCTTTTTAAATAGCTTTTTTTATTGTACTTTCCCCGACATTTCCAGCACTGAAAAAAAATTCTCGGCGTTTTTACCAAGGTCCGTTGGTACCTTTACCATCTCCCTTTTTTTACCAATTATTGGTAATTTTACCAAGACAGACTGGTTAGCTTACCTAAAAACCGGTATTTTTACCTACTGTTTTTTTCAGGTAAAAATACCACTTTTATTGGTAATCAATTCCCGGTAACTTTGCCATTTTATCTCGGTAATTTTACCACAGTCAATAAAAAATATTGGCGTTTTTATCAAGGTCCAGTAAAATTACCGAGAAAGTTCAATAATTTTACCGAGATTTCTCGGTAAAATTACCAATTCCTTAAATGGTAATTTTACCAAGAAAAAACTGGGATCAAATAGAACCCTGAATTCTTGGTGATTTCACCCTTTTCTTAGTGAGTACACCGAGATTTTTTTTCGGTGAGGTTTTCCCGGACTGTGGCAACCCTGGAAACGGGATTTTGCATCTCTGCGAGTGTGAGATCGAATAGAAAAATAGCAGTCTGATTATTAGTCTCATGGATTATGATAGTTTGATGACGTGAGCGACGGTGAAGGGTCATAACTTGGTCATCTGGGTGTTGGTTCTCCTGTGGGTCTCGAGGCGCCACTCGAGCCAGCTGTACGGGGCCACGGCCATGACGAGCGCCACCGCCAGGCCGTAGAGCTTGATCCAGTTGCAAATGGCCCCGTGGGCCCCGAAAGCCAGCGCCAGCCCCAGGAACCGGAAGAAGAAGCTGTGCGCGAACGGGGCTTGCCACGTGTCCGGGTACATCGACACTATCAAACCTGCAAGCAGAAAATCCAATCGCAATCCTTGTCAAAAGAAAAACATTTGAATGAAATTGTACAGGTAGATTCTGAGATATTCTGTCGTGCTAAGGAAAAACGCCGTATGGCCCTTCTGGCGTTGCCAAATTGTTTGATAGCAGAACACGAAGTTTCTGGTGAACTTATGAATATTTTCCTTCCAAATTTTCGCACAATTTTGTTCGCAATGGAGATGTTGCATGTGTGAGGGATTTGCCATTTGACCATTGATTCTTATGTAAAAGTTTGCAAGACACACGATGGTGTCACTGGTTTTCTCTGAAATCATCTCCCAAGCTCACAAAAAAAAAAAAACTCTCAAAGTGAGGCCAAAATGGAAGGGATATCCCACCCTACCCTGAGAGTCCACCTCTACATCAAGACAAACTCTCCATGCAAAGATAGGGAGCAAATACATTAGCAGGGTTGCCACTTTATTTGGGTACTCTAAAACTGAAAACACGGCAATCCTGCTAGTGTATTTGCTCCCTATCTTTGCATGGAGAGTTTGTTTTGATGTAGAGGTGGACTGATGGTTGAGCTCGGGAGTTGATTTCAGAGAAAACCAGTGGCACCATCGTGTTTCTCACGAAATTTTACACAAGAATCAACAGTCAAATTGCAAATTTCTCACACATGCAACATCTCCATTCCCTGAAAATTTATACGAAAAATATTCATAACTTTCTTCAAAAACAAGCATTTAATTGAGGTAAATTTGGCAACTCTCGAATGTTCATACGGCGTTTTTCCCTAGCACTGCAGTATTGCTGTACGCAGATTCAGCAGCCTGATTATTGAAATTTTTTGTTTGTCGGATCGACATAGATGACATAGGTTAAAAGGCGGAGCGTGATTGGTCGGCTATGTCTTAACGCTGCTTTATCGTGCCTTTGTCAGGTGGAATGATCGACAAGCTAACGGCACCTCTTAAGTTTCCGACAGTATGTCGATCATTCCACCTGACAAAGGCACGATAAAGCAGCGTTAAGACATAGCCGACCAATCACGCTCCGCCTTTTAACCTATGTCATCTATGTCGATCCGACAAACAAAAAATTTCAATAATCAGGCTGCAGGGGACGCAGCGCCGGGCGGACGGACACACATGTTTACAAGTCTGGTTATTTTGATTCATGTACCTTAAAAAACGCCTAAAAATGATGGAATTTAAACATTTTTTTACGTTTTTTTTGACGATGAAAGTACTTCCTTTATTCGCGAGGGAAGCGAGAAAGTAAAAATTTGGCCCGAACTGCACGAGGATGGTAGAATAGCACTTTGTCCACGCTATTCTGCGAGGAAATCAAGGCCGAAAAATTCCATCAGATTAAAAAATTCGACCTCTAATTAATGAGCAACTATGGGTGCAAAACTGAAGAAGAGAGTGTTCAATAGTGCAGAATCTAAGCTTTCCTGCAAATTAAAAATCCCCCCCCCCTACCCTCCGCCTAAAAACTTACAAGCGGTACCCATGTATCAGAATTTCAAGATTGAAAGTGACGAATAAGCTATTTATTGTCAATTTATTGCTATGGGACTTTTACTAAATAGCAATTTTAATCCACATGTGAAATACAAACTTGGTGAAAATAGTCATGTTTAATTTTTAGATACGAATATTTATTTAACACTTATTTTTTAAACTCTTTTGTTACGCCCTGTTCGTGAATTTTAAAGCTACTTAATTGCCATTTATCACTTTCAAATTTTCATTTTGGGAAACTCTGCTACATGGGTATTTGAAAATACATAAATATGTTCATGACACCGTACGAGGACGTTCATATGCGTCACATTGACGTTCCCGCTGAATCTGAATCCAGCTCTGTAATATTACGAGGAAATCGCTGATATTTTGACGTTGAATAATGTTACATTTTCATCGAGTTTCTTTCCGTGATGGAACACGTAGGTCCCGTGTGCGTAGTGTCGCCTCCGTCATGGGAATTTGAAAAATGTCTTCTTCAGATCCGTCATGATTGATTACATGCGAAAATCTGCTCACCGTTCAAACACTGCTGTTACTGCCAGGCTGATTGAGTAAACTGTCACTTATTTGCCGGCACTCAATTGCCTATGTTTCTGTGGTCGATATATCGGTGCTCCGTAAACAGGAAGTGAATTTTGGAACAAAATGGATGACAACCCGTTCGTTAAGTTTACCAGGTAAGATGATTGACGATGCACCATTTCAATTAAGTATTATACATTCTATCCTGACTGCACAAATGTCTAAAATACGATAGTAATGCCAACTGTTCACGGATAGTTAGCAGTGCCACTCATGGATGTGTTTTTTTAAGCTTCCCTCACACAGAGCCTCCTTTCCTCGCGGCACCGCTGAAAATGCCATAATGAAGGTTTTTTTTTAAACATGGCCTACATTTAATCAAAACGCTTAACAGAAACTTGGTACGATTCGATCGAGATGCTTGAAAATTTTACTGAAATTACCTTAGTTATAATATTTTCACATATATCTGTTGGTGTGTCCCTTGCAAGTCTATGTACGTGATTTTGATAAAATCCTTTCCGCGGGGGACTCATCAGAGATTTTTCTCCAAAGACCAGGGAAAAATAAAAATAAAAAATTCCGGACACCATGACTTCAAAAGAAAATATTAATGATGATTTCGCTTAAAACCCAATTAATTACCATCTTTACTTTGACAGCATTCGAGATTGCAAATACTATTCTTCCTTATAGTGCAGTAGAGGGACAGAGTGCCTTGGACGATGCACGGATACAAGGCAACGTTAATTTTAACAACTTGATACAACTGTTTGAACTCTGGGGATGTCTGTATATCTGCATATACAAAGAATTGAAGGCGCTCCGGCTTTTTTCGTGTCGGTATTCCAGGATTGCGCGAAATGCCCGAGAAAAAAATATGAGGGTTGCGCGGAAAACGCAAAAGGATTGCGCGAATGGAAACCTTAAAATCTGCTAAAGGAATGCGCGACTTTAAAATGAAGTTAATTTCAGGTAGAGGTTTGGCAAAGCAGGAAACAGTTGGAAAATAATCGCATTTTTATTTTGATGCTAGTTTAAGTTAGTTTATTGACCAGTCATCGATGTCTTACCTATACCTCCTGATGATAAATGAAGTGAAAAGATTGAATAATGGTCGTGGGTATAATAAACCTTTCCTAACTTTTCTCGGAAAAACAATTTATTTGGGAGAAACGATGCATAACGTTGGATGCAACGTACGGCGTCGAAGCACATCATTGCCCTTTTAAGCTCTATTATTCGATGCATTAGCGCTTACAACACTGTAGGAATCTGTAGGACCGCGTGTTATCATTCTTGACTTTCTGCTCCAGTTTTCACTATAATTAAAGGGAAACTATGTGTCTCATTGTAAAGATTCAGTAACTCGGATGATATTTAATTTTTTTGTTTTGGTTACATTAAAAGAAAATATAACGAACGTAAATGTCGAGTCAAAATGTTCGATACTATTATTTGAGATCAGTCAGGTAAATTCGCTGAAACTTTTCAGAGACACTGTGTGTAGCTTTTTAAAAACATTTATCAAAAATAAAACCTAAAAGTGGTGCATAACGTTGCAATCAGAGATAAATATTTTCTTTCGGGTGTACCCGTCGGGTTTTGAACCCATTCATCTCTTAATAAACTTTAACGTGGATGTCCTTAGTTCACTTCTTTCTTCCGTCGTCAGATGCTAAGAGTCTCCAGTCTGGGCATCCTCGACTTCAAGGGCTCATGGCTCAACTCCCTTGCCATAGACAAACAAAGGGGGAGTCTAGGAGGGCCTGGCCCTCTTAGAACTGAAAATAGTATCATATACCCCCCCCCCCTAAAAAAAAAATAAAAATAAAAATTTTCCAGATATTTTGAATGCAACAATTCGCAAGTATTTTGTGCTGAAAGTAGACAAAAAAAAACATAATTATTCCGCAGAAATTCTTTATGGAAGCTTCAAAATGCGTCCACTTAGTCGTATAAATTCTAAAATTTCTCGGGAGATGCCCCTAGGACCCCCCCCCCTCCGTGCTTGGGGTCCGGACCTTAAAACTGGTACCAGGGCCCGAGATGGGATGTGGCGGGCCTGGTTGAGAGTTGATTCTAGTAATTTTCGTCGCGCGAATCGTGCGTTCCGGGTTATATTTTGGTTAGGAGACATGTATTACTATGCTTAAATTTGCACCTTGTCTAATGTTCCATTTATAACGTCTTGATACCACTATTCTTGTTCAGGGGATATCCATCCACGTTGCATAAATAGGGAAATGCAGGCGCTCTAGATTTTGAAAGCTATGTGGATGTCCTCGCTGACCTCTTTTTTGCCCTAAAATCGTATAAAAACGTTCGTGAAAATACTCACTAAAACTGAGGGTATCCCAGATAGCGTTACAGACTCCCCAAGCGGCAGCGATGACGTAGAAAAGCGCTGGATCATCCCTCGTCGGTTTCCACTGCAGTAGCACCAAAATCAAGCAAGCGTGGAAAGCGAAGCCAACACCTGAAGAAAACAATCACAGAATTAGCGCAATTAGCAAAATTAGCAGGGTTGTTAGACCATAGGTCTGTAACCTATTTTCGAACTTTACTTAAAAAGTCGAATTTTTAATTGCGCTTAAAGCATCGTGTCTAGGACTAGGACCTGACTGTTTTTGCTCAATCACAGAATTAGCATAGGGATTTCAAATCATAAATCTTAAGCGTACTTTTAAAATTGGAAAAATGGCTCGAATTTTTAAATTGGGCCTAACCCGTTGTGCAGAGGACTTGGAAAAAATCCACATCTGGAAGGGAAGCGTAAAATATCCAAAAAAATATGGAATTGGTCAGAAAATTGGTCATAAAAACTGACCATTTCTACTTTATCCGTTCTGAGACCAAAATATTTATACAAAAATCTGCGATTATTGTTCATTTGGCCCTAGAGAATCAGACAAAAGATGAAATAGTTGATTCTTTCCCTAAACTTTGGAGAAAAATCTTGCTTTTTTTTGTTAGTTTATTTTATTTTATTTTTTTTTTATTTTTTATTTTAAGAAGATGTTGAGAAAAATGTGAAGGAGTGAAAAAAATCAAGGATTCATTTGGAGCTAAGGAGCTGTACGCGGAGACACGATTTTGGTCCCCCGAAAAATCGGTTTTTAAACAAATTCACTTTTTATTTGTGTGCGAGTAGGCAGTAGGTGTAAATTTCAATTTTTACTCGATACATTTGAACCCTAAAAATGGTGTGTGACAGCAAACTTTAAACGGATCTTCTAAAATATATCCATCTCTTTCAGGGCCGGATTAAGGGGGTGGCCACATGGGCCGCGGCCTATGGCGGCAAAATGTAGGGGGCGGCAAATTTTGCAATCTTCTTTAATGTAGCTATCATAAAAAAGGAGGAAAAATCGGATCCAGAAAATAAAATACAAACGAGAAAAGGCGATAAAATCTCTCATTTCCTGAGAGTAAAAGTATAGTAATTTCTAATTTTGTCGTCTTTCGGTGATACAAGAGACAAAACCTTTAATTAGTCGAGTTAAGAGAGAAACCAAACACGCAATTTGACCTTGAGCGGAGCGGCGCAGAAGGCAATGATGACGAGGACTGAGATGAAAAGGAGAAGCCCTCGGCGCGGCGGTCGGCATGAAACGCATAGCGCCTACAAGACTGGATGAATACTTCACGCATTGCGTCAAACATTACGGTCAGCAGCGGTCGGCGAGCAACGCATAGCGCCCACAAGATTGCATGAATACTTCACGCATTGCGCCAAACACAATGCGGTCGGCGCAGCGACGGAAGTTAAAATTATTAAACCACATTTATGTTTGTTCTTCCATAATTTTTTCGTTCGTTTGTTATAAATGAAAGGCCTTGTCCAAACAAGGATGGGTTTACGGAACTTAACTTTCGCGTAAAGTTCCGTGAACTTTTGTTCGTATTGACGGGGCTTTCACAAAAAATGTGTCCAACACGAGTAAACGCGTCTCATACACCCCTCTTCCACCGGCACGTTCACTTAACGAATGAGAAGGGGGCGGAAAAATACAGGCGGCCCATGAGCGGCAAATCCGGCCCTGATCTCTTTGAACGGAAACATTAAAACTGTCCTAGTGTTTGTTTGATTTTATATTTTTGAACGTTTTTTTGTTTCAAAATATTTGAGGAAGTAACAGGACGGTAAAATAGTGCTGGATTCACAGAATTTTGCGGCGAAATCAAAGCTGAAAAATTCCCAAAATTAGCATTCGAGTCACAAACTGAACTCTGATGAGTTTCAGGACCAAACTGCAGAGCGGGAGAGAATGTTCAGCTCAGGCAGATGCACATTGGAATACTAATCTGGGGTCACGCCCAAAGATCTATATTCGTTGGAGCCTTTTTAGACCCTATCCGTAGATCACATTCAGGCAGGTTAGCATTTCGCGTTTCCTGTTTTTTCCTCTCTTTTTTTTATTAGGTACCTTTGAAGCATAATCCTCCTCGTTGTGGCATCAATACTCGCAATCTTGAGTTTCCGCGTGAAGCAAGGTTTCCCCGCAGGCGGTCACCTTTTTAAAAAATGCAGAGCCATTGGTTAACCTTTCACAGTACGATGGTATTTATTAGATGCAATGGAGAATTTTCATGCAAATTTTATATTGCTCTATCTGAAAGTGCTTAAAGAGCTGATTACACAGTATTTTTTATAATTTTTTCCGATATTGGAAATGGTATAAAAATATATTTAAAAGTGAGAAAAAACACTGCCTAGTGATGTCACCTGGCGGCATTTTCCCTTTAAACACACGTATTTTAGCAGATTAGATCATTTTGTCACATCTTCTCCAATAATTGTTCAATTCACGAACCAGAGGTATCCTCGCGTTCAGTTCACTCAATAGTTTCCATTCAAAACACGAAATTCATCAAATTTCAGACATCTGCAAATTCTCCATTCTCTACAATCTTCTACCCTCGCATTTGGGGGGGGGGGGGGGAGAGGGATTACGTTTCCCCTCCATTTTATTGAAGGTTCAACTTAGTCCAAATGTTCGCAGTTCGTAAAAAAGTGCCCTGAAGATAATCGATACTCGTTGTACCTGGGGTTATCTCCAGGTGACGTGGTTCCTGTTGACGCGGTTATAATCCGGAGTGGGTTAATTATCCGGGAACAGGAACACATCACTCCGTTCTCCTTTTGGATTGATTCATAGCTGCTCGTAAAATTATGCGTGTTTATGGCAAAGTTGGGTCGCCTGCATTTGAGTTTAAGGTGGTTGTTCCTCGCGCCATTACCTCAGTTTATACGTTTGGCCGTAAAGTTCGAGGCTTATCTGTTTCATTTGGTGCCCGTAACTTTCAGTGGTTCTCGAAACAGAAGCTAGAATCGAAATTGGAACGCCCCATTTTACATCACAGAGATGCCCGCATGAGTTTACGAAGACCTCGGAGATTCATATGAGAGATTATCAACCCAGTTGACTAAACTTGTGCAGACAGATCTGAGAGTAAATGCTGAATGTTGCTCTAAAAGGACTTTGAGCGATTTTCGAAATGATGGATTGAAGATTTCATAGCTCAAGGGCCGTCCTTGAATTACGCTATACTGAAATTGCTGGTTTTTTTTTTCAAATTCCATCACCCGCTTAAGAGGCTCATAATGCTGACACCCCCATTCAGGAAGTAGAGATTGAGCAATTCACTCAAGCTCACTTCTATTGTTCTCTAACAAGGTGCTCTACTTTCGCACATAAAACGCCTTCAGAAAGTGAAGTATGGAATGAGCTAAGATCAGCACGCACAGCATATTCGTGAAAACAATTACTGCGGACGCAGCTGAAGGCGAATTGAAAACAACCGTGTAATACACGTTATTATATAGCAATATAGCTAGGATAAAGTGCCGAAAGAAAGCTATCTCTATAAAGCCTCATTTCAAGTTTAGAAGGGAAGAAAGTGACCGGTCAAGATTTTTAATTTTCGCCAAGCATAACGATTTGTTTAATTATGTAAAAGTTTCCTACGCTTTTTACAGCGGAATAAAAAAAAATTAGAGGCAAAATTCCCTGTCAAAACGGACAATTGATTTTCGCAAGCCTGCCGTTCGAACATTGATCGTAAGATTCAAAGGTATCGTAATAAAAGTCGGAATGGCTCACATTTAAAACATCAACAAGTAATCGACCTGCAGCGACGATGATTTAACGATCAAAGAAGACATTAATAAACGTTACGAAGTTGCCGTAAGTTCTTTGAGAAAACTTCCCGGAAACTTTCAGTGTGCTAATTTTCAGATCTAAGTGGAGGGCAAGTTTTCATTTACACGACTAACAGTTTAATGTTTACAAAAAAGTTGATTTTATCCTCAACTGAACTTCAAAAGGGCTGTTTTCTCTCCTCGAGTTCGGTGCGCGATTCCTGAAAGTTGTGCATTTCATCTCAAAGCGCCGATTTAATTTTCTTAGAAACTGGCGGATTTGAGTTGTAAAATGGAACACAGTTAACTCACCAATCACAAAATAACGTCTAACGTGCTGGAGAAGCATACTAAGGGTGATGGCCGCCACTGATTGGAGGAGTCCTAAACTAAGGAGCACCAATGAGACGTTTTGTAATTCCACCGCACATACGACATACCACTGAAACAAGAGTTCAAGATAAGATAATTTTTCTAAATTGAACACCCAAATGTTGCGGAAATTTCACAGCCGAGCAACATTTTCTAGTCAAGTTAATTTTTAAAAATATCAGATGAGTGGTTACACGATAACTCGAATAGCTTTGTCGCCGTAACAGACAACACATTTTTCGGTCATATTTTTAGTAGTAATGATAATCCCTCGAATTTTTTCGCATTGGTCTTCAAAGGGTTACGTATTATAACGCTTTCTAATGATTTATTGCTGTACTTCTCAATTAATATTATGTAAATTATATGACGACTATGACGTTAGGGTGTACCTCAATTTTTACGTGAACCTCATGCTGTATATAACTCTGTGCTTTCCGTGGTTCATGTAGAAGTAGAGATTCTCCCTCAAGTCAGAGAAGGGAATATATGTGAGGTACGTTTTTGCAGGAGCTTAGAGAGTAAAAAATATTCTACTTGGCTGGGTTAGTTCGCTTAGAGCTACCTTAACATGCAAAAAGGCAGAAATGAGTCTCACCTTCGTAAAGTCGGTGTAAATAAAAGCCTGCTCGAGTCCAATAAATATGGACAACGGCGCCGCCAGCTGGAGCTTCGGGTCCTTGAAAATGTTCTTGATGATGGTGACGAACGGCTTGTTCTTCATGTTGTGATCCGTGGAGGGCCCCAGATGGTCCTGGAAGACGTAGATGCGGATCTTATCTATAAACGCCGCAGAGAGCGCCACGCTCATGAGCCCACACCCGACGAAGATACTCGTGAGCAGGGTCGACGCCCGGCTCGACAGGGCCACCGGGAATATCCCGTCGGCGTCCCCGGAGAAATTCCCGTTCTCCGTCGTGTCCATCCGCACGGTCGCCAGCGGACACGCCTCGCTCCCGCAAACCTTCTCCCCGTTCAAGTTCGAAAACAGGGACCCGTACGGGATCGGACTCGAGTTATTCACCTCCAAATTGTATATATTATGATCCGTGTTGTATAAAACTATAGCAGTGATGATGTTGCCTAAAATAAGCCCGAAGTTGGAAGAGAACGTCAAGTACCTCGAGAGTCTATGCACGATGATTTCCTTGCGACCGAGGAGATACGTCTCGTCCATTTCTTCTTCCTCACGCTCGGAAAGAACGTAGGATAACTTCGACGCCAACGTCATGAGAAACGTGACTTGGGATATGGTTAGGGGCCCCAGCCAGAGGCCCATCAAGAAGTACCCGATGATCAGGACGTAGAGCTTCGGGTAGATGTGAACGGACAAGAATAGCGTTACGAATATGTAAGAGATTATGATACACCAATTGATTCCTAGTTTCCTAATGATGAGCAGCGAGAGGAGGATCGAGGGGGTGCTGACGAGGAAGAGGAGGGAGAGGAGGAGGGAGCCGACGTTGGTGTTGATCTGGATGGCGCCGGTGCGGACGGCGGCGTCGAAGTGGTCGCCGTGGGGGTAGACGAACTCGGTCTCGTTGGACGGGGGCTCGAGGGTCTGGAGGAGGTTGCTGGGCCAGTACCAGGCGGAGATGGAGCCCTGGAGGGCGAAGAGGGGGACCAGGGCGGCAGTTATGAGCATGTGCCCGAGGCAGAGGGCCCCGAAGTTGCGGCAGAGGACCTTGCGGCTGTAGATAGGGCCGTACTTGGAGGGCGTCGAGCGGACGACGGCGATGAGCTTGCGGACGGAGGAGTTGCCCGCCGAGCTGGACATGGAGTCCCCGCGGATGCGGCTGGTGCTTGCAGCTGTCGTCGCTGTCGTGGAGCAGGCGCCCGGGCCGGGGGTCGCCGCGTACGCGTTGTGGAGCTGGTGGTGGTGCAGGGTCGAGTTCGACCTGCTTGAGCGGTTCGAGATCGGCGAGTAGGAGGCCATCCTCTGAAACAGATCGAAACGAAAACTGATTGAATATATGAACGTAATAGTGCAGTGGGTACGATCAAAATCGACGATTTTTTATTGGAAATTGCAACTTCCGGAGGTCATACTAGATGAAAAAATAAAAGTTTTTGTCCGTAGAACCATTGTCAAATCCGTGCAAGATCCAAGATAGCGGCCGTTGAAGATTTGCCGTCAGATTGCTCGAGAACCACGAAAACGCAACCGATCAGAGAGCCTCACTAACCTACAGCAAAACGACCACTATGTATATACAGAGCTACACCACATGAGCCACTATGTGCATGAGTGCATGATAAATGCATTCAAACTCATATATATACATAGTGGTCGTTTTGCTGTAGGTCAGTGAGGCTCTCTGATTGGTTGCGTTTTCATGATTCTCGAGCAATCTGAAAGGGTGTGACAATTTCGACACTAAAGAGATGCTGTGGTTTATGAATCGAAATAAAGGAAATCAACTGCCCACACCGTTGAGCGCAGGGCCGGATTAAGAGGTTGGCCACATGGGTCGCGGCAAAATTAGGAGGCGGCAAATTTTGCAATTTTTTTAAATGCAGGTACAAAAAAATCGGATTCAGAATAAAATTACAAACTAGAAAAGGTGAAAAAATCTCTCATTTCCTGAGAGTTCATTAATATCTAATTTTGTCGTATTTCGGTGATACAAAACACCGCGCACCTTTAATTAGTTGAGTTAAGAGAGAAACCAAACACGTAATTTGGCCTGGAGCGGCGCGGCGCAGAGAGAAATGATGACAAGGACTTGAGATGAAAAGAAGAAGCCCTCGGCGCGGCGGTTGGCATGTAACACATGTCAGCGCCTACGAGACTGCATGAATACTTCACGCATTGCGTCAAACACAGTGCGGTCAACAGAGGTCGGCGCGGCGTGAAACGCACAGTGCCCACAAGTCTACATGAACACTTCACGCATTGCGCCAAACACAGTGTGGTCAGCGCGACACGGCGGCGAAAGTTAAAATTATTAAACCACATTTATGTTTGTTCTTTCTTAATTTTTTAGTTCATTTCTTACAAATGAAAGGTCTTGTCCATACAGAAATAGGTTTACGAAACTGAACTTTCCCGCGAAGTTCCGTGAACTTTTGCTAGTAGTGTTGACAAGGCTTACGCAAAAAATGTGTCCAACACGAGTGAACGCGTCTTATGCTTCCTTTTCCCTCCGGCACGTTCACTTGGTGGTTTTTATCGATGTTTCAAAATGAATGAGGAGAGGGCGGCAAAATACAGGCGGCCCATGGGTGGCAAGTAGGTAAATCCGGCCATGGTTGAGCGTGGTCTGGAGAGCGACTAAAGAGATTCGCCTTCTCCTGAACGTATAAGCAAAAATACACCCTATGATTTAAAATAGAGGATTCTATGCATCCTAAGAAGTCGATCTCTGTACCTCAAGCTCTCACTTGATTTCAGACTTTATGACAGTGCTTAATATAAATAATGACTCTTGTAATCTTCGCGAAATTAGAGGGAAAATATGCTTGTTTTTACAGGTTTTCGCACCTTAGTACATCTTATTTACATTTCAATCAATCTGGAACCTGGACGTTTAAAATCTGCCTTACAAAATAACGAAGAGCGGAGCATAACTCCACTCATAAATTACATCCAGTCGTGCACTGGAAAAAAAAACATTGGATCTAGAGTCCAGACTCTTAAAAACATCGACAAGAAAAAATACTCTTGATTCAATCGGATTTTTGCTTAAACCAAGAACCAAGCCTCTTAATTTGAGCGGATTTCCTTTTGATTTAAGCAAAAATCTGATTGAATTAAGAGTATTTTTTCTTGTCAATGTTTTCAAGAGACTGGACTCTAGATCCAATGTGTTTTTTTTTCCAGTGTGCGGAAATTTAGGAATCCAGAGTCCTCTACGCCTTTTTTTCTTGCATGTCACTAAAGCCCGAACTTCTCCCGAAAAAATACGTCACGCATTGTTTGAGGGTTTTCATCTGCAGCCCGCTAATCTTCTAGTGTAAATAATCAGTATTCGTATAGCCGATGTTTTTACCCATACTATCACAAAATGTCATAAAAGTCGAAATTTCTCTCATAATTCTACCTGCAAATTCACGCAGTGCAACTCCTACCTCCCTGCGGGCTACGACCCGTCATGCAGAACCGCACACTTCTCTGCTTCCGATAGTGTGTGACGTACTTTATCGTCGCTCCGCAGACGTAAGTGCTTATCTCGATCTCCGCATGAGCTCCGAAAAGCATGGACTCCTACTTAAAACGGGGCTCACGTTGAATTCGAGATACGCGCTTACGTCGGGTGGCGGAGGGTGACGTTCGAACGACCCCCGCGAACGTTCGAACTTCGCGGAACTTCCTCCGATAAAGTACGTATTCATGGAAAAACTTGAGAGTTGTTTTCTTCGGATTTTTCCTTGAATTTTATTCGTAAAACCTAATGTACCTTAAAATTTATAGGAAAACGTTTATAACTTTTCCGGAGGGTGAATACTGAATATTGTATCGGGGATGTTATTCAATATTTGAATACCACGAACAAACAAATAGGTAAATCGTCTATGTGGCTGCGGTATTGCCTCTTATATGTATGCACGGGTAGATCAGTCGCGATTTTACAAGCTGGCAACAGTGTTTCTCCTCTATCTAAATCCATTGAAAATATCGATCTTAGATGAGGCATGCTGCCTTACCAGGAATCGATTGTTTTGCATACATTTAAACGGGGGAAAAATAGTGTTGCCAACTTTCAAGAATAGCCATTGGGTAAGATGGACCCTAGCTTCGCTTATGGGCTCAGAGGACAATCTCCTCAGGAATTTTAAGTTACAGGCAGAGATTTACATTCCAGCGGGCCGATTTTTGAAATTGATAGACAAGGCGATAGACAAAGAAGACATAGGGAGTATGGAGCTGTCCTATTGGTTGAAATGGGTGGTTCCTATAGACTGAGGGAGAAAATGATGGGCTAACTATCGGATCCCTCGTGGGTTACCGTTACTTAGTCTATTACCTACCTCGTTTGTCCATTGCAACCGCCCGCATTCAACAATGGGATCCCTCCATATCTCTATCTTCTTTGTCTATAGCATTTTAATACCAATTTGGCTGGGTTGAAATTGATAGACAAGGCGATAGACAAAGAAGACATAGGGAGTATGGAGCCATCCTATTGGTTGAAATGGGTGGTTCCCATAGACTAAGGGAGAAAATGATGGGCTAACTATCGAGTCCCTCGTGGGTTACAAGCCAAAAATTGTTTGGCTTGTAGCTCGATTATTCTTTCAAACATTTTACTTTGTCTATAGCTTTGTCTACCAATTTCAATAATGGGCCCGCAGAGAGGCATCTCAATGCTCAGCGAGTGATACGTTTCCGATCATCTGAGAGGTCCAAATTGGCCACCGAATGCGATCTTAGTAGAGGACTATGGATAGAGGTGCACAATTCTGATTCATATCCAAACTACTCGGTTATTCATGAATGCAAACGCTGAGAAAACTGGATCGGAACCAATTTTTGTGCAACAGTTGAGATCAATGCATGAGCAGTATGCCGCGAAGAATGACAAATATCTAATACTCTTGTCTCAGAGTGTGCTTTAGTATTGAATGCCATCGGTATTTATTTCTATGAACTATAAATATTCAAATAATTTCATTCAGTGCGTTTTACGTACTGTATGGATGATGGATTGCCTGTAAGTAGAGTGTAGTGTTTTTAAGTGGATGTCACTCTCTGTAAGCATCGAAATGACGCGTATTTCAGTGTATCACAGTTGAATTATCACGTAGAAATGAAAAAATTAAACACTAAGAAGTGGCCCGAAGCCTGAATTGCCTGATTAAATTTGGCAATAGCTGATGTGGCTTGGTTCCTTTCTGTCTCACGCGGTCCATCTAACGTTACCATGTAAGATTAATGCAATTTGTCTAGTTTTAGTTTTAAACCATGTAGATAGATACAAGGAAATACTTGTAGTATAGTTACGTTATATTTAAATAAAATCCCTTCCAAAAAAAAACTTCCTTCAAAAATACAAGTTTTTAAGAGGAAATTTGGCAACATTTGAATGCTCATACGGCGTTTTTCCTCAGCACGGCAGTGCAAGAGTTCGGTCTGAACGTGAAGGGTAATTATAAAGTTTCAAGGTTACGATTACCGTTCTGCGCGTGTTCGCCGGAAAACCCTTAATCTGGAAAGTTCACGATCGTCAGACTCGAGAGGTTCTTTTCCCTGATCCGACTCAGCGAAGAAAAAGAAGGGGGGGGGTGCAGAAGTGCCCCGGAAGGGAGAGTGTTTGAAGGGGCCCTGTTTCCGTTACGAGGATAAAAAGGAGCTCTGTTGAGCGGGTTTACAAAAGCTACCCTCTTATTATTGCCCTTGGAGCTCAGGGCTGAATCCTGTCGGTCGAACAAAAAAGCGTCATTGATTTAATTTTGATTGTGAACTTATAGTCTTGAGAGCAAGTTCTTGAGGTGGCTGCCGTTAAGTGAATAATTCTTGCACGTTCCTCTACCTCAACGTTTTTGCACTTTCATATTCGCTTCTATTGTAACCCGCGCGTGGATGATTTTGATATCAAAAGAAAGACTAGTAGCTCTTTACAATCTTAGCCAGCTCAGAATTATATTTATTTCTATTTCAGCTAACTTTATTAGCTTTATTTCACAAAATTATACATGCGGCCGCATATATAGTTATGTGAAACAATTATGTAGATTAAATGAAATAGAACTAAATATAATTCTGAGCTGGCCAAGAGTGGAAAGAGCTACCAGTTACAAGACTAGAAGTTTTAGTTTTTGTTTTGAAAGAAATTAAAAAGGCAAAAGAATTAGTGTTAGATCTTGCTTTTCTTTAATAATTCTTTTTCACCTTTCGAATCTTAAAATTTTAGGACAATAGCTCTCGAAAAAAACTTTTTACGTATGAGGAACGAAAGTTATGACCACAGGATAGGTATTAGATCTGTAGCAATGTTTGGTGTATAGCTTGGTGTATCATGCTTATTTGAAGGAATTTCAGGCTGAAAAGTATAGCTCATGCATTAATATCGACACAATGCGTTTTAAAGTACCTCTCATTTTGTCGGTGAATAGGAAACTCAAATGTTTATTGTGCTAACACACGATTCGCCGGATAGCTCAAATGTTTCAGCTCAGATAAAGTGGAGATTCTAGGCATTATGTATCCTCGTCTAGCGTCTGCCAAATTGTGATAGGAGACATCGTCTATGACTCACATTTATGTTTTTTTATTGAAAAAAACGAATGTTTAATCTCAGAGGTCGGGTGGATTCGGATCCACAAAAGGTAATCAGATATTCAAATAAGCTGATTTTAATACGGTATTTATCATATTATCTTAATGTCTGGCTTTCAGGCCAGTAATTGTTTAATACAGCAATTTTTTACGAAGACCTTTAATTTCTTATTTTTTAATCCTCTTATTGAAGTTTTAACTGCGGTGTTATCAGAAGACTCAAAATAACACACTAAAGAAATCTTACAGCAACAGAGGAAGTGAATTTTGCGTTCATCAGAATTGTATGCTGATTTATGAATTTTACACTTTATTCATATTTGCGAAAAAGATATAAGATCGATCAAAACTCAGAGCTTTTCTATTCAAAATAAACGAGGACACCACTCAAGGTTGCCAGGCTAGGCGATAAAATGTGGATATTTCACATGATGTGAAATGCGGTAAGTGCTGATTTTTCAGCATTATTTGGCAACCATGACACCACTTGTTGAAGAAAGAGATGGATGTTTCCATGCAGCGGTCTGTGCATCCAGCGTGCGTGCTGTGATTTTGACTCTGAGGCATTTTAATATTGCAAATGAAATTTATAATATTGCGCATGTTACGCAACTAATCCAAATAAATATCATAACCGATTAATGAGAGTAAGGAGGAAAACTCATGGTATGACATTTAGCGAAAAATCATTTCATCCAGTTTTCTCTCTTTCTTTTTTCTCTCTTCCTTTCTCCCCTTTTACTTCCTCGAAACGTGACATAGTCGGAAAGGTCATATAATGAATCAGGAGAAGAAATCAATGAGGGAGTAATAGATTATGAAAAACAGATGAAGAAAAAGAAGAAAAGAGGTAGTAATAGTAATATTCATTCATATAAAAATAGAAAATAAAGAGGAAGAAGAAAAATGAGGAAGAAAAAAGGGGGAAAAGGAAGAAGATGAAGGAAATAGAAAGAGGAAGATGAAAAAAGGAACAAGAAGAAAAGAGAGATGAGTAAGAGAGAGAGAAAGAAGGATAGAGGAAGGAGTAAGAGCAGGACGAAGATGAAGAAAAGAAAGAAAGAAGATTAAAGAAAGAGGAATTAGAAATAAATAAAGGGAAAAGGGGAAAGACATGAAATAGTGTTATCATCTTAAAATTGTACGCTAACTCGGAACATGTACAATGAATAGATTTTTACCTTTAAACAGAAAGAGAATATTCAACGCCATATCAGTGCGCCTTCAATTATGGGTGCAGGCAACCTGAGCTTCCACGTGGTCGAATAGTAGTATTGTCGTGAAATGGGGCGCTTACCCGGAACTCACTCAAAAAATAACTTTTGACCACAAAGGCTGGGGCTAGTTTAACGTCATATCAATTTGCCTTCAATATTTAGTGCACGCAATTCGGGCTTCTACGAGGTCGATTAGTGGTATCATCTAGGTATCAAGCATACAGGTATCAAGTATAGAAAGAATATCCAATCTGCGTAGGCGGATACAGGCACTCCGAACGGAGGGGACGGAGGGGAGTCCAGGGGGCTCCCCCCGGAGAATTCTCGAAATTTTCAAGCATCTAATATGGAGTTTGAGTCAATTTTGTCATGAATAATAACCAAACATGAGCGCTCGTCCTTCTTCTTTCCTCTGTTCCTTCCTTTTTCTTCCTCCTTTTTTGGGCGGACGCCCCCTGAACTCCCCTTGGATCCACCTACACTAATTTTTTTTTTTTTTTAGTTTTTCCGGGAGAAAAAGTGGCGAATCTTATCGAAGATATGACAGTTTAAGCATCTTGTTACACCGGCTGTGTTAAGACAAAGTCGGGGGTTTCGACTGTCATCCGTTTCGCACTACCACCCCAACATGGGGGTGGGTTTCGACCAGATGAGTCTACACTAATCTGACAAAGGAAAAGAAAAACAAGTAATGATGGAAGACTACATACTTCGAGGATGGAGTCCTCATCGGGTCTATCGATGGATCCGATGCAGTTGTGCTGTTGGCTGCCGGCGCTTTTGGTTTTGAGGAGGGGCGGGTGGTGGGAGCGGTGTCCGGCGTGGCCGGGCGGGGGGTGTTTGTGCTTGTGGTGGCTGTGGTTGTGGTTGCAGTGTCTGCATTGCGAGCAGCTCGCCCGCGCCTCGGCCAGCCGCCCCCGCTCCCTGTCCCGCGGCTCGTCCTCCTTATCGGCCAGCTCATGCAGGTTCGGCAAACTCCCCATCAGTCCGCACTAGAGCGCCCAGGCATCACTTGCACCAGCTACCCCTGCAATCACAAACAAGCCCTTATCATCCAGCGAACCCCATCCGTTATGACAACGGCTCCGCTCGTTCGTGGATCCACCGGATTGGCCACATTGTTTTTCCTCCATTTACACGGAGAAAACAACTTCGTGCGTGGGACCCGAAGTTTAGGTCATATGGAAGTTTTCGGATTGAGCATCTGAACACTTAAGGTCTAGCTGCCGAAGTCCAGGTCTGACATCTGAAACTTCAGTTCTTACATCTGATGTACTTCGGTTTTCACATCCAAAAAACTTCGGTTCTCACATCTGAAGTACTTCAGATGTAAGAACTGAAGTTTCAGATGTGTGATCCGAACCTCAATAGCTAGATCTAAAGTGTTCAGTCGTCAATCTGAAAACTTCAGAGATTCATATGGACGTATTTCTATCAAACAGAACTAAGCGCCAATTTGAGTTCCTTTTGAGGAATTTAAAATCCCGGATAGCGCGTCCTGTCAAACGGACCTAAGCGCCATGGAAAAGCATTGCGAGTATAGGACGGAATGAGCCGGACGCCCGATTCCGCCGCCAATCCAAGCCCCTCTCTACCTTCCTCACCCTATGGCGCTTAAGTTCGTTTGATAGAAATACGTCCATAAGACCTATTCGTCAAGGTTCCTAGCGTGGTCGGACTGGTGTGCAATATATTACATCGATTATGTCAAAAATCTTGGCAGACTTTGAAATTTTAGCCCAAAAAAGGACAACAGCCCCTGCGCATGAGCTCAAATAATCATTCCAAACAAAGAAATTAGCAAAATCTTGAGGGATGAAGGCAGAATCCTATTTGGTAAAAACCTCGCATTCGATGCAGTTGTCGATTTCTGTATCCAATGTATCTGATTGGATACAGAAACCATTAAAAAACTGCCTTTATAGTTCAAAAATTACATGAAAAATAGTCCATGCATAAAAGTTAAACTCGAATAGTAAAGGTAAAACAGTAGGTTTTTTTATTTTACCATATTTACCGCGACGTTTACTTGCAGCGACCATAATCTCATAATCCCTTTCGAAAATTTTACTCAGCGATGTATACTTTATTGAATGGAGACAGATAATATAGCAGAAAAGATTTGCAAAAACTGAGGCCGAGATTTGCCCTTCCTGGACTTGACGACTTGATTTCTTGATTGCACTCGGATGCTGAGTTAAATTAGACGTATTTCTATCAAACGAAACTATGTGCATTAAGACATGAGCCTTAAGACCCATAAGAATACATGCATAGTAAGGCTCACGTCATAATGCACATAGTTCCGTTTGATAGAAATACGTCCAATTAGCTTTCATTAGGGTCAGTGATCCAACTTCGATCGCGACTTTTAATTTACGTTCTCGAGCTTTGATTCCTAAAGCAAGTGTGAGGTGCGTATTTGATCCGCGTTGCTCCAACTTAATGAGCGCCCTTTGAGTCCACGCGAGTGAGGTATCTGTATAATTTGTGTGTGACAAAGTGTTGGTTCGTCAGGTGCTCAGGTGTGCCTCGGGTAGTTAATGTTAATGTCGTATGATCGTTCCCCTTGAAATAATGAGCTTTGCTCCTTTCCTGCATCCTTCTTGGCTTACTCTCGCTAAAATAAATATTATAACCTTCAGCCTTCAGAGCTCTGTGAAGTGAAAGCCAGACCGGCGCACAGTGGACGGAGTCGATGGGAGAGGACGGACAAAATTTGGAAACTTTAAACGCCTATAACTCCAGGTATACGAGACTTTGATGTTCTGAAAGTGGTTCCATTGGTTACCTAGTGAAATTTTCTACTGGAAGCACCACTTGAAATGTTAATAATGTGACAAAATAAAAACAAAACTTTGCAGTTTTAGTCAAAAATATCATGTCCCACCTCTCTAACTGTCTCGATCCACTGTGCGATGTTGGAGTCCAATGGTGCATGTGTAACGATATCCCAGGTTTGCATATGGGAAGTGCAAATTACAAGAGCATGAAGAAGAACGCCTTATAAGACTTCAAATGTTGCCAAATTGCCTCTGATAAAATACGAATTTTCTGGGAATTTTGTGATTGATCTTCTCCCGATTTTTCAGAGAATTTAGCTGGGTGCTCAATATAAAGTATCTGAAAATGTCCAGGAAAAACGCTCAAATTTTCTTTCAACGATAGACAAATTATCGATGGAAATTTGGCAACACTCAAGAGCTCATAAGGCGTTACTCCTCACCACGGCACCATATATTACCGTGTCACACCCACACGAAAATTAGCTACTCGGAAATCGCACGTTTATTAAGAGCAGATTAAACGATCGGCACATTGTTGGATTTCTACCTCTCATTGTTTTTCCATCTTTGTTTTGTCTGTTCATGTTCGAGGGGCTTTAAAGCATCATATTTAATGATGAAGCTTTGGAATTCCGGAATCCTAGATATTTTATTAGGTGTGCAGACTTTCAATCACGATTACCTCTCCCCCTCCCTCTTAACCAGACAAAACCACATAATAATTATATTATATTATTGTTTTTGGTCAACCGAAAGTAAGAAATTGCCGCCTATAAGCTCCGTTGTTATTTTTTGTCGTACATTGGGAGCGTAGGAGTATTATGAAGTGGAGGTTTTTTATAGACTCTCATTATTACAAGATCAAAAGATTGTTCAAATTGAGAGAGTACTCACTCTCTCTGAAAATTATTTTAATCCGTTCTTCTGTCAAAGGAAAATGTTCCTTGTTTCCCAACAATTTCCCGCCCAATGCGCAGAAAAAATTAATTTAAACGTTGCTGCACTTCCTCCAAATAGCTGCTGGAAATGCGTTTTCAGCTGTCTATTTTTCTCGTTGCGACCTTCAACGTTTTGATTAAATATAATCCACAAAATCTACTGGCGAAAAATTTCATTTGTAGTTTCCTACGGAACATTGTACCAAACCCTTCTACTTGTGATTTAGTGTCTCGGCAGTTCTCCATTACACATATAGTCTGATAAACCCTTAATGAAGACATAATAATTAGAAATCATCTTTGGGCTTACATTTTTACTTCGAAGTATTACAGCAGAGAGAATGCCCTAGAAGAAGAATGCAGAAAGAATTTAAGTCTTCTCTGAGCTGTAAGACTTTCAAATTTTCACAGACTTGTAGCTAGAGACTTACAATTAGACGAGTGGGCCAATTCTCAGGGTTTTTCGGCTACCATCAGATAATAATATTTAAAAGAGTTATCTTCTGAAGACTAAGGATATTTCTGTCTTAATAAGCGCAAAGCGCCCGCATGAGGTTGAACCGCGTAGAGGCCGTGGGGCTGACCCCTTACATTTTACTGTCTCGGCAGTTCTTCAGAAAAAAACTTAATCTGATAAACCCTTAATGAAGACGTAAAAATTAATTACAATCATTAGCAATGAATACGCACTTTTTCAATACCTCCAAAAGAAGGAAGAAATTTCATCATTGAAATTTTCAATAGATATCTAGTCTTCCTTATCCGAGGGGTGTATTCATGTATCCCGCATTAATCCTGTGTTCCTCCTTTAAACTTGGAAATCGGCGGAGAGGCACGAACGATCGATCGATAATTCCCCATTTGAAGCTATGGTAAATAATCGATTATTAAGGTGTTCGTTGCGAGCACGTTCTCCATCGATTCTAATTCATGGGTTTAAAGGGCAGATCAATCGATATATCGCAAAGCACGGAAACTGTTGGAAATGCGCCGTCCGAGCGGCCGAAAAAGCAAACAAAAAACCGCTTGAAATTGACGGAGATTGATGGCGTGTATTTCAGTGGCGTGGCGTGAATGATCGAGTATCGATATCTCGCCATTTGAAGCTATGGTAAAGAATCGATTACTAAGGTGTCCGCTGCGAACACCCTGATAATCGATCTTTTTTCATAGGTTTGAGTGGCGTATCAATGGATACATCGCAAAGCACGCCACGCCACTGGTGTGTTTTTCAGCGCCCTACGTTGTCGAAGAGAGTAAACTTTAATCGACCGGTGATTGACGTAAAACGGGGGATAATCAAAAACATGCGGACACAAATGAAATAAGCTGTGTCGTAAAAGCAAGTTCGCATCGCGGCAGGCGTTCGAGTTATTAAGTGCAAAGGGCGCGGGGTTTATGTCACCGTCCGCTGCTTTTAGCGCCCTCTCCCGAGTGACGGATATTTTGTTCCTCGAATTATCGGATATTTTGTTTGACGACCGTTCAGAACTGTCCGAAGTTTCCCTGACAAGACTTCAACTTTGTTTAACTTTATACGCGCGATGATCGGGTTTTTACCTGCAGCGAACAAGAAAACCGTTTTTTCTCGCGCTGGGAACATTGGCCCATGTGCGGAGAGGGTTCAGATCAAATGGATCACTTTTTACAATAAGGAACCACTATCTCTGGGTCTTCCATAAAATCACCTTCCTACAGAGGGATATCGATGGAATATATGTTGTATCTAAAATGAGCCAGAAATAGTGGTTCCTTATTGCAAAATGTGGTCCAAATTGCTAGTGGCGTTCTCTGCACATTCTCTGGGAAAGCATACTGCTTTCTCACAGTGGTGGGTTCAGGAGAAGGGCCTTGGTGGCATGACCCCCTCCTCGAGTAAAAAAGAACATTGCTCCATTAATCTCTATTGACTTTTCATGTATGTACCTATTTTCGCTTTTCGCTCCTATCGTGCAATCGAGATCAAGATAGCACGGTGGTTACGGGCATTACTATTGCGCCTGCAATTTATGAGGTATGTAAGAAGACATGCCTCGTGCTAAACAATTATTTTCAAGAGCTTTTACTTTGCTATGTTCCCAAGTTTAGTTAATTATCTTCGTGTCAAACATTATGCCTGATGGTTTTAATGCGGGTGTTTTGCTAGACATGATGGGGAAGTTATCATTTCCGACGTCTGAATTGAATTCAAACTTTGATTGATATTATTGCCGAAAATTGTACTTTTAGTGCGACTATCATTAATTTCTCACCCGATAATACTAATTCGTCTTGATGGGGTTTGTTTACATTGGTCCACCAGA